GTGTGTGTGTGTGTGTGTGTGTGTGTGTGTGTGTGTGTGTGTGTGTGATGTGACAGAGACTCACAGGCACACACACACAGACAGAAAGAGAAAGAAAGAGAGATTTTAGGTGTCATTCAACATTTTTTTTTTAATATAGGTCTCTCACTGGCTTGGTATTTGTCCCATAGGCAAGGCCCAGGGATCTGCCTGTCTCTTCTTTCCCAAGGTGAGGATTGCAAGAACCTGTTCCTGGATTTTTATTTAATTTATGTGTATAGGCGTTTTGCCTATATGTATGTATGTATGTATGTATGTATGTATGTATGTATGTAGTATATTGTGTATGTATGTATGTACACCAGGTGCATGCCTGGTGGTCAGGGAGGACAGAAGACATCAGATCTCCTGGAGTGGCATTTACAGATGGCTGGGAACTGAACCGGGGTCCTCTGGAAGAGCAGCGAGTGCTATTAAGCGCTAAAGCCATCTCTCCAGTCCCTCCTGGCTCTTTCAAATGTGTGCTCTAGAATCTGAACTTGGGTCTTCCAAGCACTTTACCATCACAGCCAGCTCTCCAGCCCTATCAAGGAAAAAAAATTCAAAGTTCTTAAATAAAATATCTATTTACATAATTATTAAATAAAAAAACTTGTGTGAAGTTATGTACATTTAAAATAGTTACAATTCAGGTATGTAGAGATGGTTCTGTGGGAAAACTGCTTGCTGAACAAGCACGAAGTTCTGAGTTAGGACCCTGAGAACCCACATAAAATCCAGGCGTGGCAACGCCCATCTCTAACCCCAGTGCTTGGGAGCAGAGTCAGACAGATCCTGGGGGCTCCGGGACCAGGCAGTCTAACCAAACCAATAAGCTCATTCCATGAGATATCCTGTTTCAAAAAATAAGCTGGAGCTCAACAGAGGAAGAAAAATGTTGTCAACCTCTAGTCTCTACACACATAAGTGGGAATGGGCACACACACACACACACATATGCACACAGGCACACATGCATACACACACAATTCTCAGTCTAGAATCTCGCTTTTAAAAGATAAAATAAAAAAACAAGTGCAGGGGCTAGAGCAATGGCTCAGCATGTAAGAACACTGATTGCTCTTCTGGAGGACTAAAGTTCAACTCCCGGCACCCCCCATGGCTGCTCATAACTCCAGTTCCAGGGATCCAGCTTCTTCCTCTGGCCTCCGAGGGCACCAGACACACTAACATACACGAAGGCAAAATACCTATATAGATTAAACAAACAAACAAGCAAAGCAACTATAAGCCCACTTGTTTCTTCCTAGCCTCTTCAAGGCACAGGCAAGTTTACGCCTATCAGTCTATCCCTTTGATACCATTCATCTAAATATTTTATAGGAAAATCTCATCCAGTTTTGCTACCGAAAGGTCCCAGTGTGGAGTCAACAACCTGACATACTGAAGGCAGGTGAAGTCACAGCCCCGAGGACTCAGAATCTATACTTAAATAGATGTGTCTCCACTGAGTCCAAATAGAAGGTCTAGGGTCTGTGTCCTCCCTGCCATGCATGGCAGTCCCGATTAAGGCCTGAACTCACCACTCTGTCCAAGCCCGGCTGGCTGGGCAGAGCCCAGGAAGGCAGCCAAAATTGAAAACAGGCATCGCTTCACAAATCAGACACACCACACTGTACTAGGATTTTTTTTTTTAATTGTCATAGACTGTTATGATAGACTTTATAAATTCCAGTTTGTAGAGCTGGAGCGGGAGGAGGCTTTCAGAGCTCTGTGCTAAAGGGGGGGGGGAAGCCAAGAAAACCTAGCCACAAACAAAAAAGGAGGGAAAAACAAGATTACTTGTCTGACCACAATGAGCTGTGTAAACACCACTTTCAGCACGCCTATAATATGAGATCGCATTCCTGTCTGGCATTTGTTGCCGCTGCATGGGCTGATCTCTCAATACTGATTGCAGCTGCACAGGAATTGTTCTTCGGGTTCACTCAATATCTGTTAGAGCTGAAGTGAAGATGCAGACTTACTTTCAGAAGGCCTGCCTACACCCATCCTATTTTTAGCATTGTCAAGACAAATCAGAAATCCGATTACCGTGGCCAATTACGAAGACGTCACATTAAGCAATGGTTTTCATGAAGGGGTGATACGTTTTGTAAACCGTTCATTTGACTAGTATAAAAGAGCACATTCTCGGGTAAAAGAAAAAGGTATGGCAAAGTGCCTAGGTCCACCATATGGATGTTGGTTGACTGTAATGATAAGGTTTGGGTAGCCTTCATCTCCTTCCTAAAGATCGGGCCTAGGAAGAGCTGGAAACTCCCACCGCTAGTACACACTGGCATGCTCTAATAGTGTGTATATAATAGTGTGTGTATTATACCAATATATACTGGCTTATATGTTAATAGTTCACTGATCTTTTAAAAGGATTTAATAAATTGCCCATGTTTTTTTTTTTCTTTCAAATGCAAACTCCTACAGCATAGCAAACACAAGTACAAAATTAATGAAATAAAATTCCATTCCCCTTGAGACTCGCAATTATTTGTTAATATAAAATACTGTTCTTTCTCTCTCCCTCCCTCCTTTCTTCTCCCCTCCCCTCCTCTCTTCCTCTCAGAGGCTGTGCCTCACTCTATATCTTATGCTAACTTCAGACTCACAATCCCCCTGCCTCAGTCTGGGATTACAAATATGAGCCACACGAGGTAATCATACGCCTTTAATACAGCAGTTGATTCTTTTTGTCTGGACTTGGCACTAGTTTGCCAGGTTCAGAATATGAACCCAGAGCCTTGCCCACACTAAGCACACATCCCACTACTAAGGTCCATGCCCAGACTAAGAAAAAGCTTAAATTTTTAAATCTGGTAAAATTATTTTTCTCCTAATCCAAACCTATTTAAAATAAATAAATTACATGCATATATATACACATATATTCATACCAACAGATAATAGTGCTGTAAGCAATATCTGTTCTCATACGTGCTATAGTAACATCTATTTTACCAATTCTATGATACTCAGTTTTAGTGAATCATGTCTGAAATTAGGATGCCAGTAGAGTCTGTGATGGTCACCTTTCATTCTTCAGTCTGTATATTGTCTTGGAGATGTGATGCGATGAAGTAAGCTGAAAAGTCGTGGTATTTTTAAATCTAATAAAACTACACCAAGCCTCACCTTTAAAACACTATATTCACCTTCAAAGTGTTACAGCTTAATCTTTTGGCCTGTGCTTTCAGCCGATGCACCTTTAGAGTTCTGCTATCCCCCTGGAGAACTACGGATTGGACTAGTTACTTAGTAAGTCTTAACAAGTCCAAGGCCCAGCGGCTTTGAGAACGCCAGGGTGTACTCTGAGAGGATGCAGCAACACAGGAAACTGGGAGCGCCCGGGCTCACTGCAGACATGCAGCATTTAGCGCCGGAATCCTACCCAGCTGTTGGCAGGGTCAGGAAGTACGTTAGTTCTGAGGCAGCAGAATTCCCGGGTGGCTCAGGGAAACCTGACAGGCGGGCATGCTTCTCGGCTGCAGCTGTTGACATGGCAGTCACTCGTCTCCCCACTCTCAGCCCTCACTGCCCGGCTCTCCCCGAAAATGAGGAAGAGACACATGCTTTCCACCTCACTCGTCACCTCCTGCTCCTGGCTACCTCGCTGTCACCACACCTGACAGCAAAGGGACCCTGACACCTGTGGGAGCCCAGGCCACAGGTGCACAGGTGGGAATCATACAGAAGCAGGGAGGGAAAGAGCCCCCAGGCAGTCCTGGGCACCTCGAACACGAGTTTTAGACCAAGGATTCAAACCAACGAAGTGACCGCACCCTGACTACAGCCACCCTGGTTCTCCTTCCAGACATCCTTCTAAATCCCTCCTCCTAAAAAGGAGGGAAAGACACCGACTGCCACCAACTCCAAAAGGATTCCCTTTAAGACAGCCTCGTCAGCTCTTTTACAATTTAGTGAAACAAAAGAACAGAGTCAACAGCACTCCCTTTGACTTACCACTCACTTACTGTAGAGTCGGTAAGAGCCCTTGACTTAGCAACGTCAGTACAGACTTACCTTTTGCACGGCTCCTTGGAAGGCCTGTTTCATCCTTCTGCACGAGTCCGGGAGGGCTTCCGTGTCTTCACTCTCCATAGCCGTGTCCTGTAAGCCTGTGTTTTCACGGAGTCTCAGGATTCTATAAATGCAGTCAGTGCTATCCTCTGATATCCTGTTAGGATCCATCTAAGAGGGAAAAGGGATATTAAAGTGGCTACAGTATATACACATGTGGAGGCTGGGGACTGAGGTCGGATGTCTCCCTCTACCACACTCCAGTTTAATTTTTGAGATGAGGTCTTTCACCGGACCTGGAGCTCACCCGTTAGCTAGACTGGCTGGCCAGGAAGCCCTCAGGATCCTCCTGTCTCTGTTTCCCATCCATCTCGGGCATGTGTGGGGCAAGGATTTGAGAGGCAAGTACGTTGTCAGCTGACCCAGCTCCCTTGCCCCGAACACACTTTGAATTCATTTTGCTGAGTGGCTGACAGTCACCTGCTAGGCACGCTGTCATCGATTCTTAACAGGAACGTATGTGTGCGGTTCAATGCACGGGGAATGAACTTCTTTGTGGACAGAAGAGGTATCGAGGATGTCACATGTGATGCAAGGAGGTAAGAAAAGACTCGCCAAGCTAGATCAATGGTTCACAGTTATAATATAAGCACTAGAGAAGCTAAAGCAGAGGAATTAGTGTGACTCTGGGGATAGCCTGGGCTACCTAGCGATCTCTAGGCCAGCTAGGACTACAGTGTAAGGCCCTATCTCTTAAACAAGAAGAATAAGACATGTGCAGCCTACTAAACAAAACCACATAGAGATGACACCCTCTTGGAGATCCAGAGCATGAAGCCTGAATAAATCAGGCAAAATTAACATAATCTTCAGCTACTATTTTCGTTTGACCTTTTCCCTTAATCCATGGGTGTTTTGATCGGTGGAATAAGGGAATGAGAAATCCATCTGCAACTCAAACAAAACCAGAAGCCAGGAGTGTAACTTCTCCTTCAGATGGATATCTATTTATTTAACCAGTACTCCTCAACCAGGATCCTACAAATATGTAATCCCACTAGGGTGAGGAGGGTACTTGTGCAGACCATACTGGAGAGTGTTAGGACATGCTAAAATATAAGCATTGTCTCACCCCAAACATCCCCTTGGAGTTAGGTTTAAAACAGGTGCTCAGCCAGGCATCTCTCAGTGTACTGGCCTAGAAGCCTGTCTTCTACCTCCCAAGCTCCCACAAGGCTTTGCAGCAGCTTCAACCACCATAAAAAAAAAAAAAATGGAGTTTGATTATTTTCCTTGTTTTGTTTTGTTTGATTTTTCAAGACAAGGTTTCTCTGCATAGCCCTGGCTGTCCCGGAACTGACTCTGTACAGCAAGCTGGCCTCGAACTCAGAGATCTCCTTTCTCTGCCTCCTGGGTGCGGGGATCAAAGCCATGCACCACCACCACCCAGCTGAGTTAGATTTTTTTAAACAGCTTAGCTTGTCCTCTTCCGAAGTCAAAGTACTTCATGAGTATCTGCTTACCATGTGATGAAAACTAAACCAAACACAAAGTTTATAACAACCAAAGCTTTAGTCAGAAATAGCACTGTTTCTCTCTCTCCAATCTAAATAGATCAAAGCAATCAGAAAGGTGAATGCCCTTATTTACCAAACTAAAAACTAAAACCTAAAAACTAAAAAACTACTGTCTCCATACCAGAAACTCTTAAAAAGAGCCTTTTTCCAAACATGCACTCACAGACTACATGCTTTAGTATTTTATTCATGCAAATATAAGGATGATCTGGGGCTGGAGACTGCTCAGCCATTAGGAGTACTGGCTGCTCTTCCAAAGGACCAGGGTTCAACTCCCAGCACCCACATGGCAGCTCACAACTATCTGTAACTCCTGTTCCAGGGGACCCAATACCCTCACACCGACACATGCAGACAAAACACCAATGTACATGAAATAAAAATAAATTTATTTTTATTTGTTTATATTTTGTATAAACATACATATATACATATACATACATGTATATATGTATGTATATACATGCAGCTCTTCCAGTGGACCAAAGTTTGGTTCACAGAAGTCAGGCAACTAGAGCGGCCTATAATTCCAGCTACTAGAGATCTGACCCTCCAATCTGGTTTCCAAAAGGGCTTGCACACATGTGGCATGCTCATACACACACACACACACACACACACACACACACACACACACACACACATACACACACAAATAAATAAATAGTAAATATTAAAGTACTAAAATATATAAAGATAATGTGTAAACATGGGTGAGGTCCTACCATAAAAGAAAATTAGTTGCAATGTATATTTATTTCATGTAGTTTCTTTGGAATACTTAGTACCAATCAGAGCATGTGAGTTTACATTGAAGGGGTAGCTGTCACGCTTCCTCTTTTTGTTTTGTTTTACTTTGTGTGTGTGTGTGTGTGTGTGTGTGTGTGTGTGTGTGTGTGTGTGTGTAACACAAGAAATAGTCTCACTGTATATAGCCTTCGCAGGCTTAGAACTCCCTAGTCAACCAGATTGGCCTGGAACTCACAGAGAGACCCACCTGTCTCCCTCCCTAGTTCTGAGATTAAGGCTGTGTACCACTATACCCAAGCTCAAAAGTATCTTTTAAAAAGACTCATTTAAGTCAAAAGTATCCTACAAAACAGACACATCTGGGCCCTTGATAGGAAGGACCCTGGGTTCTGACCTCAGGAAAGCAGAGTTCTGAAATGGCCTCAGACAAGAACTGAGCTGAAGAGACCTTGTGGCTTTAGGAAATGCCTGGGGACCCCAAACAAAGGTCATTAAACTTGCATCCTACAGACAAACTAAGGGATCAGAAGCAGCCACCCCAGCACTGGCAAATCTCAGGATGTACCAGCACAGACTTACCACGGAAGCCAAGGTCTAACTGGAGCCAAGGTCATCTTCTCTGCATTAAACTCTGAAAAGTGATGCTTTAACATGTCAAACATACAAATACGTATAGCTATTGTGTTACTAAAATGGATCCAACCCCCCTCTGCCAAGATTCACTAATTATCACAATATTGCATCACTCAATAACAGCTCCTGGCTTAGTACAAATAAAAAATGGAGTGCAAAGACTTTGGCCTTTCTCTCTTAAAAACAAAAAAAAATGCCAGTGACCAGCTCTCACTTGGACCCCTCAGCCAATTTTATCACATGCCTATGTTAGATTCAATTGTTGAATCTTCCGAAACTTCATGCTTAAAACCTCACCAACTATTGCAACAAAAGAAATTAGGATTGTGCGGCAAAATTAACTTTGAACTGTCCACCTATTTGTTTCCTTAAGCATGGCAAATTAGAAAACCTGCTTTGTACCTCTAACCGATATGTTTTCTCTTTCCCGGTGCCCAGGCAAAAGGTGGGGAAGAGGTTTGAGAGGCTCAAGATCAAGAGCACAGGTAAGCAGGAGAGTGGCCTGGGGATGGAGGGCAAGCCAGGATGTAAGGTTGGTGGGGTTGGAAATTTAGAGCACTCAGAGCAACTGAATGCACATAGCTCCTACCCAGCAGGGTATTTTGGGGTACACAGCAGTCTAGGTAAAGGATATCCCCGCCTGAAAAATCTGTGCCATTTTAGCTACCAGATAATCATTTTTGCATAATAATAAATTAGAAATGGAAAGATGTACAGGGTTGGTGAATCATCTGAAAGGCCTTTTCAGTCAATTAAGGATGTCAGGTGCGTGTTAGATGTTGTGGGGGCTGGGGGGAAGGGGAGCATGGTCGGACACTGAACAGACAAGCTGTCTCTGTCTTCATGGAAGACCCATCAATTGCACCAAAGAGCACAGCACACAGTTACAGTGAGTCACATGTGTACCCGCAAACGCTACATCTTGAGTTAATCTGATTTTAAAGGGACATTCAGGGCTGGGAGAGTGTTTGTCTGCCATCCTGGAGGCCCTGGGCTCCGTCCCCAACACCACACACACATACACACACAGGGAACTTTGAAAATTTGCACCTATCAGATGATGTTTTGGCTATGAAATGTGTGTGTGTGTGTGTGTGTGTGTGTGTGTGTGTGTGTGTGTGTGTGAACTTCCTTGAAACTGATCATTCATAGGGTTAAATGAGGCAGGATGCTTGACATTTGGGCTGCTTCCTTATCGGTTTTTCAAACAAGCTGCCTGCCCACCTCAACATCAGATTTGCAGTAGTGGCTGCTGTCCTGGGTGAGAAGCAGCCAGAGAGGCGGCCATGTGCACACAGGGAGGTGAGAAGGAAGTTTAAAAGCAAAGCAAAACAAACAAACAAAAACCCTCCAGCTCTCTGAAGGGCTTAACTTTCCCTAAACTCTAAACTTGATTGAGTATGACTACCTTTCTCTCTCCTCTCTCTCCCTCCCTCTGTTTCTCTCTCTCTCGTTCACTCTGTCTCTCCCTCCCTTCCTTCTCACTTTTTTCTCCCTCCTTCCCTTCCCCCTCACACCACATACACGGTACACTGCACAGATACTCCACACACACACACCACAGGTACACATACCACACCACACCCAATACACACATATTCAAACACACAAACTACATACCACACACACACACACACACACACAGCTTTACAAGCAACATTTTAGAAAAGCTTTTTTGTTTTCCTTTCAAAACCAAAATATGAATACTGCGTAGTAAACAGCTACAACGAGCCACATGCCAACCTCTTGGCAGCTCTGGTGGGAAAAGGGTAATCTACACTGAATCTAGGTCTTCTTAAAATGTAGGCACAGGCAATCTGAGACTCCCAGGAAGCCTTTCCCAATTAGCCTTCTTTGCTAATTATTTAAACACAAGTGGGATTTGGTTTCCATTTTGGTTTTGTTTGTTTGTTTTGATCCAGGCTGGCCTTGAACTTCCAATCCTCCTGCTTTAGAGAATTTGTATTCTCTGTTCCCTATCTTTAAACTACAATAAATCTGACTTGCTTTATCTCAAAATGTAAATGTGTTCTTGGATAGTAGATTATTTCACTCTCATTCAAATGCACTCAGAACCTTTAAAATTAATACAACTTCTAATAACTACTCATTGTTAGACACTAATATCTGAAAGTACAAAAGGAAGGTTTTCAGAATGGATAAGAAAGTGAAAAGAAGTAGTGGTTTCAGGAAAACTGTATTTAGTTGAGGCCTTGTATACCCAAACTCTCCCTCAACCATTATTCACTAATAGCTAGAAACTACGCCGCATACAGAACTTTGATCTCCCTGTATCGCTGCATATGGCCTTTTAAAACTGTAGTTCAGACTTGGGTTCAGAATAATGGCTGGAATTGTCTTAAGCAAATCTTTGAGAGACTCAGTCCTTGTAGCAACTAGGTACTAGAAATATGGTGCGCTTGGTGGAGTGTTTGCCTAACACACACACAGTTCTGTGGGTTCAAGCCCTAGCACCACACCACACAAACAAACAGGCATAGCAGTGTGTGCCTGCAAACCTAGCTCTTGGGGGTGTAAAATCCTTGGCTACATGACAAGTTTGAGGTCAGCCTGGGCTACATGAGACCCTAGCTAGGAGGGGAGGAAGGAAGGGAGGAAGGGAGGGAGGAGAAGGAGGGAAAGAGAGAGGAAAGAAAAAAGAAGGAAAAAAAATTATGCCCAGAAATCTGACGACACTAAACTCTCCAAAGAAAAATTATCTGGCTTCGCCTGCTATCTCTAGTGTTTACTTTGGGAAAAAGCTGTTTCATTATAATTCTCGTGCCATTGACACTACTGTGTGATGGAAGGTGACCACGACGTTAGGGTGACAGAAGTCTCAGGCCACCCTACCACCGTAGAATTTCTTCAGGAAAGCTGGACAAGAGCCCGGATGGTGACTCCTTCCTCCACAGCCATGCCAAGTCCCAAGGTCCCCGGCAAACTAGGAGCCTCTGAAGCATGTACACACCACAGTTCTTTCCAGGCTCAGTGTTCACTTCACAATTACTGCTGGGAAATGTTATGACCCTAAGAATGAAGAAGAAGAGGAGGAGGAGGAGGAGGAGGAGGAGGAGGAGGAGGAGGAGGAGGAGACCAGGAACTATGGCACCTTCAGACCTAAAACCTCTTCATAGAATTGCAATGGCCTTTTGTAGGAAGCATGCTCTATCCCTTGGCACCACACACATAAAGACATGGGGTCTACATACACGGTGATTTTAAGCATTTAATATTGTCATAAGTATGCAGGCTCTCCGTACACATACAGTAAGATGCCAGACGGCAGAAAACAACGGAGAAGCCATTCTTCGTTGATTCCTCTGTACCCCGATAAGGGAGGTTTGGTTTGGGTTGGTTCGGCTAGGTTCGGTTTGGCACTCACTTTCCTATGACTTTTGTGATTAATATCGCAAGCAAACCACCCAAACCTTGCCGGAGGAGGAAAATCTCTACAGGTAGCAAGTGTGGTTATTAATACGGAGACCCTGGTTTTCAGAAATGTTGGTTTATGGTCTTTCTGTGTTTTTGCATTAGTGGGTAACCACAGCAGTGGTGTAAAAAGCAAACCAGCCGGTCTGAATATTAACAAAGCCTGCGATCCAAAATACAGTTCACGGCTTTGGCGCATGTCGAAAACCTATGCCATCCAAGCAATGACACATTTTCATGCATCCAGTTTGGTCCAGTAATCACCTTCGATTCTGGAAACAAGCGAGGTCCAAACCCAACTTTCTTTTCCCATAAAAATATGCACAGTCAGCCCCCCACTTCCTCTGAGAAAGAGTTCATAGCACCGGACAAGAGTATTTGAATGAATCCAACCAACTGCACTGCAATTTCCAAGAAAACACAAGAGCGCAAACCACCAGAAAGCATAATATTACAAATTTACCCCTTCCTCTCTCCATCTCCCCGCGGTTCTGAGTCTTTTAGCGTGGAGCTAAAGATTCAGAAAGATTCCTCTCTTCAAAGAGTCCTCTCTTCAAAGGTTAGTTACTGGCTGGAGTGTAGTCAGGCTGTACTGTTCTAACACACACACACACACACAAACACACACACACACACACACACACACACACACACACACCCCTTCCTTCCTCCGCCCACCTCACAGGCAGGCACAGTGGGGCTGTCCCTTCACCCCTCGGAGCCTGAGCTCCAGACAAGAAGCAGAGCCCCAGCCCTGAGACCTAGCGTTTCTGGTAGCGCTGTCTGTCACTCCGCTGATCTGGAGACAGGAGTGTCATCCCCTAGCTGCTCCAACGAATACTGACATCCTCTCTCTGGGGTCCCAGCGTGGCGGAAAAGCGAGGCGGTCACAGGTTAGTGAGCGGCGTCGGAAGGCGCAGCAGTAAAAGCACTCACCCTCCCTAAAACGAGTGAAAGTTGGTCCTTAACTCCAAGTGAGACACGCAAGGTGGGGAGAAAGCGTGGCGATCACTCGCACAAGAAGGGAGCGGCCAATGCTGCTTCTGGGGGGAAATTCAAACATCCTCTACCAGAACCAGAAGAGCTCGTCTTCCTCGCGCCACGCCGCGGGGAGAATGAGCCGGAGAGGGTGGCCGGGGGGGTCCCCGAGCTCCCTTCCTGGGAGGGTCGCTTTCCCTTCCATGATAGGCAAGATCCAGGAAGCCCGGTCTGGGGACCAGACTCAGTTTCCCCGGCAGAGAACCGGGCCACTCACCTGCGCTCGGAAGTACAGGAACAGAGCCACGCTGCAGACCACCTGGCCCAGCCCCAGCCCCAGGAGGGCCAGGAACATGGAGCGGGGGGCCGCGGGGGGCGGCGGTGGGGCGGGTGCCGAGGGCGCGGGGTGCAGCGGGCCCTCGTGTGGGGCGCCGGGGCCGCCGCCCATCTCCTCCGAGCCGCGCAGGTACTTGCCGTAGTCTCTGCTGGCCCGGCGCATACCCGACTCTGCGGTCGCGCTCTCTTCCTTCCTCGGCCTCCCGCCACCCGAGCAGGCTCCCCGGCCAGCCGGGTCCCTGACCCGATTCACCGAGGTCCTGGCAGTGGCTCCCCGGGGCGCGGGAGAGAGGGCAGGGTACCCCCGGGCAGCCCTAACTCTTATAAACCTCGTGGACAGGGCTAGCCTCGGGAGCCAATCAGCCCCGGGGAGGCTGCGTCTTCCACTCCCACTTCAGCCCTCCTTCCTTTCCTTCGCCCTCCCCCTCTTCCTTATTCTCACCAACCGGCCTCCTCCCTCCCCATCGGGGGCCCTCTGAGGTGGAGTTTGTGGGTGGGTTCAGTGGTTCCTGGCTCCCTTCGCCTGCCCATCCTCAGAGCATTTGCGTCTCTGGGCCTCAGTTTCCTCTGTGAGATTTTAAAAGCTGGCTTCTGTGAACCCCGATGCCCCTTCCTGCGCACCACTCTCAACATTTTAGCTGAGACCATCTTCAAAGATCCTGAGGTTTGGCCTCAGTTGTGCCTCCAAATATAGCCTCCCTGGGTATTGGGAGGACTTGGGGAAATTCTAGAACTCCCTCCCAAGTCCGTCTGTCTTCATCTTAAAAGCGACTTTAAATGAGGCAGATTTTGAATGAGGCTGCAATGATCCTGTAGACTCCTATAAGAGAAGAAATGAGAAGAGGGGAGGGAATGGGAAGAAAAGGGGAGCAGGGAAAATAGACCAAAAGGGAAGGGTAAAGGGGTGCAAAGCTGCAAGCAGGCTTCCCAGGAGGTGTAGACCCAACAGTCAGGAAAGAGCTGTTAAAGGAGCTAAGAGCAGAGTTAAGCTTTGCCGCATAAGGAATCTTTATGCTGAGGGCCAATGAAAAGGCTCAGGGGCTGAAGGTGCTTGCAGCAAATCTTGATGACCTGAATTTGACCTGCAGAATCTTCATTGTGGAAAGAGAAAACCAGATGTCCTCTGACCTACACACAGAGAGAGACAGAGACATAGAGACAGAGAAAAACACACACAAGTATTTTTGTTGTTATTGTTTTGTTTTCTGGATTTTTGTTTTTGTTTGCTTATTTGCTTGAGACAAATTCTCTTCTATGTAAACTTAACTGTCCTGGAGCTTGCTGTATAGACCAGGCTGACCCCAAACTCTTACAGATCCACTTGCCTCTGTCTCTGCCTCTGCCCTTGCTTCCTCACACTGGGACTCAAGTTATGTATCACACAACTAGAATAAATGAGGATTAAAAAAAAAAATCTTATTTAAAAGTTTTTTTATTTTTTATTTTTTATGTATTGATTCAGAACTATGCTCCTTGGGGAGAAATATTAGCTCTCTTACAAATTCTGCTACATATTCAAAGTATCTGATACAAGTTTAAAGGTGAGGCGCTGCCCCTACAACACCTATAAAACTTGGGGTGTTTCCACCTTTCTAAGTAACCCTTTCGGTGTGTGTTTCTCTCAGCCTAGTTCTCTCGTGGACTCTTCCATAGGGGTCGTGTACCAATGGTGACCTGCCTCTGAGTTAGTAATGCTTTACCACTCTTGCTACAATACCACTGTTCCTCTCCTTCCTTTAACGAATCCCTCACCCAGGGACGTCGTCAGACTCAAGGTATCAGTCATTTGGAAAGTATTGATTCCCTGGGCTCCACAGAGCTTTCAGTGTTGACCTGTTGGCTGTCACAATAACAAAACTCTACATCATTTATGTCACTTTTTTATTTAATCACGAAAATCTTTAGCGTCTGGGAAAGTAGATCGTTGTGACAGAAGTTTCTCAAGGGTCTAGGTTCTTTTCCTTGAGAGCCTGAGTTGCATCACTAGCAACGGGCGACACCAGTTGTCCTCCTTACATTGATAAGCACGTCTTGCTCATTTTCCAGAAGAGCCAAGGTTACCTGTCTCGTGATCAGCTTGCTACCCAGGAATCAGTGCTTCTGCAAGACAGTCACCTCATTCTGCAGCAAAAGGGCCGGGATACACACTTCTCGTTTGCCTCACAAGATAGAGCTCTTAAAAGCCTATACTCAAATGTCAAGCTGTAACAAGTTTTCCTGGCCTGTCAAGGACACTCTTTTGTTTTTAGGTGTATTTGTTTTATTTTGTGTGCATGGGGTTTCCCCTGCATGTATATGTATGGCACTTGCAAGCCTGGTACCCTCTAGGTCACGAGAGGCCATCAGATGCCCTGGAAACGGAGTTACAGGTGCTGACAAACCACCACGTGGGACCTGGAAACTGAACCCAGGTCCTCATAAGAGCAACAAGTGTTCATAACTGGTGAGCCATCTCACAGCCTCAGTCAAGATTATTCTTCAGGGAAAAACGGCTTCTGTTTTTCTGTACAGGTTTCATGTTGCCCCTTGTGATATGGCTGGATCAATTCTTCTGTCAGGGTTCATGTGTACGTAGTAAAACCTGAACAAACATGCAACTAAATCAAGCCATGGACCCAGCTATACTATACCACAAAGATAGGTGTGATCCTGTCAAGGTGTGAAGACAACCCTTAGAAACGCATTGCTCTCTTAGACCAGCGGTTCTCAATCTATGAGTTCTGACCTCTTCGGTGGGGGGAAGGGGACCACATGTCAGGTATCCTGCATATCAGATATTTACATTACAATTCACAACAGTAGCAAAATTACAGTTATGAAGAAGCAACACAGTAATTTTATGGTTGGGGGAATCACCACAGCATGAGGAACTGTATGTATTAAAGGGTTGCAGCATTAGGAAGGGTGAGAACTACTGTCTTGGATGAAAACTCCCTTTTGGAAAGCCATTCACAGCAAGACTAGTTTTAGTAAATATGCTAAACACTTTGTCAAAAGGATGTTTTTGAAGGTAGTAAAATTGGGGGATTATAAAGTAAGAGAAAAGGACCCGTTACCCAGGAAAAGAAAATTAGTCATGAGCAAGTTGAGGAAGTTCAAGTTGAGAAACGTTAAGCGATGAGCCGCTGTTGGGAATTGCTCTCTAGCCCATATCCACATTCTTCAGTAACTAGGCTTGTCAGTCATTCCCCTTAGGCCCCGGTGGTTGCTTCTCCTAGTTAACTGGTAGAGGGACCCAGCTTTCAGAAACATTTTCTATGTTGCTTTCAAGACTACATAGCAGACTTGACCAGGGCCTCTTCTTGAACCACCAGCGAGTCACAAGGATAGAGGCTAATCTTTCACATTCCTTCTGAGGTCGGAAGCAGCCAGGTTCTGTCTTCTATATGCTGAGCTTCCTATGAAGTTTCTTCTGAAGAAAAGTTGCTGCGACCAAGGTGAGAAGCGCTCAGATGTGTGTACTGTTTCCAGTACAACACCAAAGGCGACGACAGGGAAAGCGCGGCAGAGTGTGAGGTAGCTGGGGGTGGTGTGCCCATCATCAAGGGGTAGCGAGGGGGATGAAAGCTGATGTTCAGCCGGCTTTCTCCTTTTTACACAATTCGAGGATGGCCCCAGCCATCAGGGGAAGAGCAGAAAGCAAAGAATGCTGACAAGTTCATGTGATGTAAGAAAAAGCCTTCAAATGCCACGTTAAACGCACTGACTGGGTATAGCTTGTCCAGCTTCAGAAGGTAGCTCGCCCTCTCCCTATCCGTCCAACAAGGGCAGTCCACTCAAGCTTCCTCAACAGGTGTGGAGCTAGGATTATCAGCATCATAGGATTACCAAAGACCTAACTTAGTTGATCTAGATAGCGTGTGGTGTGCCGGTTATTGTATTTGGTGATGGCCATAACTTAATGTGAGCAAAAGAACAGCAGAAGGCGAGAAGATGGCAGCTTTCCTGACTCTGAGGATTGGGTAAGACCATAAATCAAAGATGACAGGAAGGTTTGCTGATGCTACAGAGGACAAAGTCATTCGAAAGATCACACTTAACTTACCATTTTAAATGTTCTCCTAGCCATAGTCTATATGTAGCACCCATAGATTTTTTTTTCACATTCATAAACTTTTGATCTATTTTCATCGCATTCTTGGGCTGTGTTCAGTATGTATGTGTTATCATTGCAGTAAAAATAAATAGGTAAATGTTTTTGGAGGTAGATAGAGAAGCTGCTATTATGAGGCACTGATTGAAATGATCGTGGAGGCTCAGAGGTCTCTTGTGATCTTCTGTCTCCAGAGCCCTCCTGATGACAGCCCACAGAGAGATTCCTGCTCTCCTTCAGGAACAGTGCTTCCCTCGGAGCTACCTCGGATCACAATACCCCCTCTGACGGCACAAGAAGTGCCAGACAGATAACGATGCTCCCTGTCATTTATATATAAAAGGTCAGGAATAATGGAAATCCCCCACTTCAAAACCAGAGCCATAAAACAAGCCTAAGGCTTCAAGAAACCAGCCACCAATGGAACTCTAGTAAGCAGCCACCTACCTTCACACACCCTGGAGTCAGGAGATGCAAAGATAGGCAATTTGACTCATCTCTCACTCTTCATACATACATACATGTATAAATTGATTCTCAGGCCTGGCATATTCTCCTGAACTGAACTGTTGGATACTGAGCCACAGGGTTTGGTAGGGGTGCCAACCTTTCAGACCAGTAAAGCCTGCTTTTGCCATTTTGAGGTGAAATCTATTCTTTCATTTTCCTTTGTTGACTTATTTCCTACAGCAGCCCTCAACGCCAACGATATAGTTCTAAGGCCTAAGAGGCAGAGAGACTTATAGATTCCAACCCGAAAATCTAAGAACTATTGAGTGTTTACAAAGACTGGAGAAGGCTGGTTTCCCAGTAAACATGACCAACAAGGTGAACTGGCCTTTCCTCCACCTTTTTGATCTATGCTGGCTCCTAAAAGTTCTGCACCCACTCCAGGGAAGGTCGTCCACTTTACAAAATCTTCCAGAAACACACTCATAGATCTATAGTTGTGTGCAGCCATATATTCTGGTACCCTGAAGTCCTACTGTGATCACACATAAAATTAACCAGCATCCACCACACTGTTGGGAAGAGTATTGTATGGTCTAAAGTTGATGGTACTGAAATGA